TTTTTCTCTGTCACTTACGACATCACAACATTTATTGCAAATATTTAAAAAAATTAGTTAAAATTTTCAATGTTCATATTACTAATGTATAAAATTATAATAATGGAAATTAGAAAATAGCAAAGATATAGCAAGTAAAGATATTGCCAAAAAGGAAAAAATAAATAAAATTGGTTAGTTCTAGTTTAAAATCTGTGCATATTAATTACATATTTTGTATAATTAGTGATTTTCTGGCTTTAACGCTGATAGCTCAAGTACTTATCATCCCATATCATCGCCATATCCCATACCATTGCCATATCCCATATCATGGCCTAATATGAATAATCATCAGATCATTTCACTGAAATTTGGTTCACAGATGCTGGGGTAATCCCAGGACATGATTAGTTTAATGTTTGAAAACATGCATATTGCACCGCGAGATATTTCGATTTTACGCACAATAGAGGACGTGGATAACTGGATTTCGGCTCCAGTGCGAATCTCCCAATTTCATAAAAATAATCGTATATTCGTATCTGAATCTCGAGCTAACTAATTTGGTGTGGTGAGGATCATACAGGCATTTATATCGGCTGGAGGGAACAACTGTCTTGTTGAATAGAGATAAATAAAATACAAATGTAAAGTAAACAGATTTAATATTTAAACCAATAATTCATTCAACACAAGAATGCCACAGCAACAACATGTCCTAATACAACAGCAGTTTCCGAATATTGCAAAACATGTGCTTCACAGAAAAATAAACAAGAGGAGAGCTGAGTCTATGTTATGTCCCTGCCCAAGAAATGGTAGCGTCCAAAAGTACCACTATCCAACGTAAAGCTGAAAATTACACAGCGATGGTTTCTAAGCTATAGCCAAACCACCAAAAACATGAACAATTGCAAAGTAATGTCACTCCAAACTAAATTACTGCGGCAAAAACAGACTCACGACATCCACTAGTTACTATGTAAAATTTTACAGTGAGAACAAAATAGCTTTACCGATATTGTCAGTTCTCATTAAATGATACATAATACAATAATAAACTGAATGTCAAAAAAATATAGTACGATATCAAAAAATCGCCAGAGAACATGGCCACTCTCAGAAAATCACTTTTACTCCCGATGATCCTAGGCTCCACGATCTGATGTACGTCAAGTTCCTTGAGCCCTACATTGCAAAAGATCACTCAACGCTTATTGATCAGTCCCTGAGTCACATTAATTTGGTCATCGACGACACAGTCCAATGCTGGATGTCCACAAAGTTGGTGCAACGCAAGTTCGACAGTCACTTTGATTTCTTCGCGGCACGGGAATAACATAAACTCGTCCGTGGGCGGCAACACCCTGAACTCAGTTCTTCCCTAGCTTTTCATACGCCAACTTGATGCTTTCCAGAACACGTTCGTGTTCTCATTTCCAACACAATCCCGCTTTAGGCTCCTGCCATTTTTTTCCCTGTCCTGCAGCTTCTTCTCTTGCGCGCGGAGTAGCGTGACATCCTTGGACGCACCAATCACTGCAGCACGTCTCAATGGGCGTCAATCATGAGGCCAAAACTTTTCCATGACGTCACAAATACGGGTTACCATAATAAATAACGCAGGCCCGTGATAACAATTAATATAAAGAAAACTACATAGAATTAAAGAAACAGTAAAATTATCCTGGTTTCATGTGGATCACATTGTTTTCAGATTGTGCTTCTCAAATAGCAGACAAATATTAGTTGACAGACTTATCCTAAATTTTGAAGAAGATCTCTAAGCTTTCTTTGATTTACACTATTTTCTCTGAAGGGATAATAAGTACAAATAAAATCCAGTGAAACATACCTTTATTTCCTATATTTCACATTCAAAAAAGTCCTTTCAAAGTTTTCTTTGATTGATTGATGGCCGAAAATAAACACAGTATTTTAATTTATCATTAACCATTTCTTGAACATGCCTTGGCTGATTTTATTCAAACTAAGTTTACAATAAACAACTATTTATAATAGACTTCCCACAACATGCCATAGACACTCCTGATTTCTACCAGCATTTGTTGAAAACATGATCTTCCATTGAAACATTGATGAAAAAACTTCTACTTATGAACATGTTTGCCAGGAACCACTTCTTCGCATCAAATTAATCCTACACCCAATTAAAAAAACACCATTCATTTATCCACATTTTCATGAAGCCGGTATAACAAAAATCAGTGATTTGGTGTCATAAAACAACTGGTTAAACACTGACCACGTCGACAAGATCGTGGGTATCCATTCGAAACGGGTTCTTGGTACAGTTCTAGCCATGGTCCACCAAGAAATTCTGACGGATTTTTCTAAAATCTTTGCTGACTATAATGTCAACAAGGGAAAAGGGGTCATCTACAAATTTTCAATACTTACAAGACAACTTTCAAAAGAAAATAAGCCATACTGTATAGAATGATATTTTAGCCATTCAAAGTAAACATAAACCACTTTTTTTAGACTGCTATCCACCAATCACAAAGAAAGACAGTGACTTGCAGTGGCGCCTCCTACATGGTGCATATCCAACTGTTGGGTTTTTATTTAGGTCTAAGTTCTGTGATACAGATAACTGTCTTTTCTGTGATGACAGAGATGACTTGATTCACATATTTATTGAATATCCTAGAACTGACACTACTGTTCAATGCATTCAACTCTATTATACATAATTTATTTGACATGATCCCTCCCTATACTGGGACCGTCAAGAACATCTCTCAAACTCACTGTTTGCTGTGCTATCTACTTAATGCTCTCAAAACTGCCATTCATATCACACCCTACAATAAATTGAAAGACCTCATCAACACTGATGCAGTACAGTGTTTCAAATCCTGTCTTAAATTCCAGATTGATAATGAATACAAATACCACATGCTCACTCAATCACTTGCCAAGTTGACCTCCCAGTGGTGTAAAAATGATGCTGTTGCTATGATCATGGATCAAACCCTCACCTACCCAGAAGTACTAAGATAATCCAACGAACATCGTGAATCAACGTAGCACACTACATTATAAAATACCATGTGACTGAGATGCCATTAAAAGATCAGCGCCAATTAAAAAGATAATTCGCTGCTTATTAGTCCCCATTCAGACGAAGCCTGATAAGGGAGTACTAGTTTTGCTTTCTTTCTCATTTTCAAATTGCTGCAAGTTATCTCTCACATTTTCTCAGGGACTCTGTAGCAGATATCAATGAAACTTGGCAGGTTTATGAACATGTCTGTGTTACATATGCACGTAATTTTTTTTCCAGATCAGAAAATCCTAAGTGGGTCTTTTTAGTCCCTGTTTGGACGAAGTGCGAAAACGGGGACTTATAATTCGTTCTCCGTTTGTTCGTGCGTTCGTGCATCTTTCCGGAGTCGTATCTCAGAATCCTTTGACCGATTCCGTTCATTCTTTGCATGTGTCAAGTCCCTTATGTGGGACTTATGCACATGCAGTGGTTTAGCAATTCGATTCAAAATGGCCGACTGGCAGCCATCTTGTTTTTTGAAAATGTTGTATTTTGGACATGCTTTCTCAGTTGTCATTCAAACTTG